TTCTCTTCTCTTCTACCCTCTCCAGGTACTATAATACCCACCATTCAGACTTTTTTTGCCATTATTATTATATTTTTATCCTGCTTATTTTTATATACAACTCAAGGCAGCAACTATACCTAATATTTCTACCTCCTATTTGGCACATTATCTATCTGTCTGTCTGTCTGTCTATCTCCTGATACAGTCACTTGATTAATGTGTTAGCCAAACTGTGTGAAATTTTAATTTTCGATTTCTGTTTACTATTGCATCAAACAATTACTCCAATAATTGAAATAATCAAAATATCATTACTTTAAAGGAGGGGAAGAACAAGCGTAGGTGTGGACAGGGAGGAAGGCCAAGATTTAAAACTACAAAATCTCCTTAAATTAATTAACATTTATTTAAAAAGGTTTCACTGAACAGAACTATCCAAGTTCACAAGAGAAGCAAAAATTAGCCTTTATATCACGATAATTTAAAATACTGAGTTAAGCTCTTCTGTAGAAAATAAAAATCTATATCAATTAGTATCTTTTTATTCTTGTTGCCAATTGCCATTTCTTTCACTTATGTCTATAACTGTGTATGAAGTAATGATAAATTTCAAAAATAGAATTCTTTGCCAAATCAAGTCTTATATTTATATAGCTATACTTCCAAATATTTTGTAGATTATTATTCTGTCAGTAATATCTGTTATCATAATTTAATTCAGAACATTTTGAAAGGTGACTATGATTCTATACTGTATTGCCTAGAGTCCTAGACATTGCAACAACTGTTAGAGTTTAAATCTGGCTTGCAAAAAAATCAGCATCAGTCACTATTTCTATAACAGGAAGAGAGAAGCTAAAGGTATGGGGTCAATCCTGAGGACAGCTCTGCATAACTGAAGCTAGTTGTCATGTCAGAACAAAACAATGTCATCCATCCTTGCCCTCAGTAAGATTTGTCCCATTCAATGTTTCTGCGGTAGCTTATGCTAAGATAATGGCTCCTCAACCCTAACCCTGAAATCCAGATATAAGCTTGTATTTTAAATTAATAGGAGATTCAGATTTTCCATTGTTTTGCCTTTTTATTAGTTTATTTACTCTACGTATTTTGTATATCAACTATTAATCATGATAGCTTTGCTTTCTAAATCTGGTGTCCAAAAATTTTGAGACTGCAACTCTTCAGAATTTCAGTCAATATAAGTAGTTTTTGATGCTATCAGCTATGAAAGATGATCACATTTGTGCCGTTTCAGTTTCCAGAGGTTTTTAACAGTACAGGATAGGGACACAGAAGTTCTGTCATAGAAAATCTGACTTTAAAATGGCTTGTTTTATGTTGGAACTCCTGGAATGGCTCTTTCTATAGCCAGGATGGCCAATGATAAATGTTTTGTACACTTTTTACTACAGGATGCATAGTCAGATCTCTTATAGAATGAGAGACACCCTTCATCCATGCTTTGGATTTCTGTTCAAAGGTAATTTGAACAGATTTAAAGGTAAACATTCTTCATTTCTACCTCTGCCAAAAGAGGATACATGAAAATATTAGTGTGGGGAAAACTGGCCTCAGCACTTTTACTAAAGTAGAAAATCTACTGAGACAGGTGAAACTATCTGATTTAGAAACATTATGATTTCGATGCATGAAACTGGTAGTATTTCACTGTGTTGAAGTTTAGGGCTTTTCTGATCAATGTTTCATTGTAACAGCAATAAAAATATAAACTATTTCAATTCTAATTGCCTGGGTTAATCTGCTGCTGTTTTAATTACCTTATACTTTCTGGGGTATAGCTATTTTTAAGCTTAAGAATCTTAGCCTCATTTTTAATTAAACACATGAAAGTTGAATAAACTATACTGTAAGTACCATACTAGATATTTGATTGATAACACATGTAAAAATTAAGAAGTGCTGAAATCTAGTCTGTGGATCTCACAATATGAATTACTGCCAGTAACAAAGTAAGGTGAAAACATCACAGTGAAGGCAGAAAGAAAGTGGGAATGGTCTAGGGCAGGGGTAGGCAACCTTGGCTGTTTTATGACTCGTGGACTTTAACTCCCAGAATTCCTGAGCCAGCATGGCTGACTCAGGAATTCTGGGAGTTGAAGTCCATGAGTCATAAAAGAGCCAAGGTTGCCTACCCCTGGTCTAGAGTTTTTTTTATAGTAAAATAAAAAGAATGCAGAAATCAGGAAGAATGATATGAAACAGACTAAGAATAAAGCTCCCTATCAGTTTGATATCACAATACAAAGAAAGTCTCTACCTCGCAAATGAACCAATGCTCTGTTTCTCAAACATGGTTAAGAGCTGGAAGATACCTCTTGAATCCAGACTATCAGGACAGAATAGCTGCAAACAGATCAAACCAGGAGTCACTCTGATAGTTCAATCTGTTAAATTTAAAATGGAAAATACCTAATTATTCTGAAAACTTATAATTGGAGAAAGTGATCAGGATCAGACAGCAAGAGAAAATATATGATATGCAAGCAGATTTGCTCAAAGTTTGTTCCCATCAACCACTGTGATATCTCTGTGCCAGCACAGGGCCTGTTCTAGTTCGTGCCTACGTATCCAGAAGCAGGCCTCAGCCAGCCACCTGACTGAAACAATAATGCAGCTATTCTGCACAGGAAGACAGGGTGCTTTGTGTAGTCACAGCCGCCTAAGAGCTGTTCATGCAACCCTTCTGCCTGAAAAGAAGTATTGTTCAGGATGACCTCCCTTCAGCTTCTCCCCAACATCAGGGGGACAGAACTATTTCTAGCAGCCAAAACAGTTCCATTCAGAGTCCTCTGTATCTCCATCCCACAGTAGCTGCCAATGGGCCTGCCCACTTTACAGTCCTGCAAGGGAAAACTTGACTGTGCAACATCCAGTAAATCCCAGTGTAGCTTGTGATATATTTGAAGGCAGATGGATGAAAGAATCTTTCTGGTAATGGTAGATTATTTGTGGAATTACTGAAGCTCATGGAATATGTGGGATGGAAAATGGAGACCACCCAGTAGTACTCCAAATCTAAAATAGCTCCAAAGCAAAAGAGAGAAATCATAATGCCAGGATAAAGTCCAAATCATTTAAGAATCATTTTGAAGGATAATATTGTATGTGATTTGGTCCTTTTTGAAACACAAAATGAACCTAATCGTAGTAACCTAATAGGACTTATGAATGCAGTCATTCAGACAGCTCTCTATTGTCACAATTTTTCTTGCTTTAACTATAAATATTACTATAATCCATATTTCTCAATCATATTTCATTCATACATTTTGTGTGTGTGTACTATAATACGCATTGCTAAATTTGTACAGCTGCTAAGATTTCTTGCATATCCAAGATATCTTAATAATCTATTATGATGGCTAAACTCATGTTTGTCTTCCTAATCATAAGGCAGATATGACATTCTCCAATTACAGCCTAGTCAGATTATCAAGTGTCTTGTTTAAATCTGTTTCCTGATTATTAAAGCCAATGTACCCTGGGGTTAGGATTATTGTGAAAAATCAAAAGAATTGATTGTACTGGCTATAATCAAAGCTTTGACCTAGGAAAAAGATTAAAGAAAAGCTGTTCTAAAGCATGTTTTTGAAATATGAACAATTTTACAGCAGGAAACTTGCATCTTTACAAGGCATCATAATATTGTGGAGCAATACAGGGGATGTCAACTGGCCAGATTCAAGGTCAAACTGAAATTGTTCTGATTAGGGCCTTGAATAAATCAGAGAATAGGTTAAATCTAAATATATTACCTTGAAGTTTCAGCAGAATTGACATCAAACACACCAAGATTTCAAGAGCTGCCTTTAAACTGGACTATCATTCCCACTATCTACAAAGCATCAGGTTAGATAAGACTGATCTAAGGTATACTAAATTATAATTTTTTGAAATTGTAATAGGACTTTGAAAGGATGCCCATTGTGCCTTTATGTGAAACATAACAGCAGAGTACCGTAAAGTATTGCAAACCCAAATTTGAAATATAAATTTAAGACAACATACAGAAAAAGTGTAAATAACCTTTTAGGCCTCATTTCAAATATTTCTGAAACAAATTCCCAGAAATATTTAGTAGAAATTTGCCACAGTTGCATGTATTCAAATATTATTCTACTTTAAATTTGAAGTAAAATATGTAATCCCATTAGGCACAAAGCTTCAGTTTCAACCAGTGATATACAGTGATATTCTTACATTGTTTTAATGTAATTCCACCCCAGTATACTTTGTGAAAACGTCTTTCTTTAAAAAGGCACTACAGTACTGAATTAAATAAGGTTCTTGGCTATATATAGGTCAACAATATTGAAGTACTAATGCCCTCTAGGGACGTAGCCTAGGATTATTCAGCACTGCTTGAAAATCAGGCAGTTGCATCTACTGCCAATTCATCCAAGACTATCCATTGCTTCTGTCCTTCCTTCAAGTCTTTGGAGAATAGAAAGGAATAGGAATAGAACAGAATATAATTCTTTATTGACCAAGTGTGATTGGACGTGCACAAGCTCTCAGTGTACTAGTTGACTTTTTCTTCTTTGCGGCAGCCGGGGCAGCCCCTTAGATATTGGAACACTGCTATCATGTCACACTTACTTCTTTTCATTAAACTAGACATACCCAATTCCTGCCATCCGTCTTCATATGCAACATCTAAGTCTAAAACAAAACAAAGATCCAATTCCATCTAATGGATGCAATTCCATAAAAAAGGCAGAGCACACTCACATACAAGCTAAACTAATTTCAATAGGCAACCAATAAATCGCCTTTAATTGGGCGACGGGGCTTTCCATTTCAATATTCGTTCAAAGAGATTTCATATTTGCACACAATAGGAAACCCCCGACTTCTGGCTCGCCCGGGGAAAAAAAAACCCAAAACGTTTCGCTCCGCGCCTCCCGCGATGCACCGCGAAGGGCGCCTCCGTCCGCCGCGCGCCCTTCCTCCTATCCCGTGAGCCCTTGTGGCAGCACGCGCGGGAAGAGAAGATGGCGGCGGCGGTGGGACTGGCCGAGCGGGGCTATTTGGAGCTCGGTGGGGCGGAGCGGAGCGCACGGGGCGGCGTCCGTGAACTCGTATTCAGCCTCCCAGGTGGAAGACCCTGGCGGGAGGCAGGGGGTGCATGTTGCTGCGTGGGTGTCCTTCCCGGGATCTGCATACACCGAGAGCATCCATGCTGGCGCGCGGGGACTGATCCGCCTCCCTTGTCCATCTTTTGCAGGTGGTGGCGCGTCCCCCTCGGCCGTGCGGTATCCTGACAGCGCCGGAGGGTTTTGGTACCAAGAGAATGCACAGCTGGGCTCGGTGACTAGAAACCGCTTTATTCATTGGTGAGTGATCCGAGGAAGCTCACCTCCCAAGCAGACAAATGTATAGATTCGTAGAGCTGGAAGGGACCTTGGAGGTCTTCTAGTCCAACCCTGCCCAAGATTATTGTCCTTATTCCATCCCGGACAAATAACTGTCCAGTCTTTTCTTGAAAACTCCCAGTGCACCCGCAGATCCAGGAGGCAAGCTGTTCCATTGACTAATCGTTTGTTTACTCCCGCTGACGAGTGCTGAGCTAGAAAGATTCAGAACTGCTGTATCCTGTTTGGGCTAAGTTTGCACTTCAACATAGACATTGTTTGGTCCCTTTGGTCTTTATTTCTATCTTAGTGGGAATGGTGGATTGGCCAAGCATAGCTGATGTTTGCTTTAAAAATAAAAGCTCTCCAGGCTCCTTATTATAAGTAGTTATCCAAAGAAAGTTGATACATTTGGGGCAGGTACTGCTTTCTTTGGTTCTTACCTGTTTTTCACTAAATCCAAATATGAGACAATGAAATATGAGGTGATTTACTCACATTTAAAGGAATGTTATGTAACTCAATTCCCTGTTGGTGGTCCCTGAGACTGGGACAGCATATCAGAAACTGAAGTTAGGGATCCGATGGTGACATAAAACAATATATTTCATGCACTTGGTTCCTATGCATGTGACATTCAATTTGCATTTTAAAATGCCAGTAGTAACATTGTAGAAAGGTCTGCTTACGCTTGCCACTATAACTAGTTTGAGGAGGCATAATTCAGGTGGCAGGTCTTCTCTTTTGCTGCCTTAGTATGTCAAAATTCCTTGTCTCTGAAAGTTCAGGTTAGCAGCCCCTTCCCTCCTGCCATGTTATAAAATTATTAAAACAACACTTTTCCAACATAGTTTTTAGCTGGATACAATTATCCGGTAGTCATTTGGGATTTTTGTTAATGCATCTGTCTTTTGGCTTTTATTCTGTATGTATATAGTATATTGCCTACACTGCAGTTTGGAAAAGTACAAAAGAGGGTTAAATAATTTTGAATTCATCTCCATTGTACTTGTGGAGAAAAATAGAATTTTGAATAATTGGTTATAAAATGAAATAACTTCCATGAAAACATTGGTAATTGCTGTAATCAAGTAGTTGCATGAATGCTCCTTAGAAATCTGGACACTATACATTAGAGTTGACTTTTTAGAAAAACAACATTGAGCTGAATGTATTAGTATGAAGACATGTTTCACATGTTTAATGAAGCTATAACAATAAAGATTTCCCCATCTGTCCTCTGACTTTCGTATGAGATTGGTCAATAGGTAGAGAATTTAAACATTATCACAAGCTATCATTCTGCTTTCTCTGACCTGTGAAATGGAAAAGAAGCAATAGCAATTTGGAGTGAGGAATAATTCAATTTGCTTCCCTCATTTCCCCTTAGGCAATGCTGGATAAACATATTAAATGTTTCCAGGCAATCTAGGTACATAGGTAATACAACCCCTTGAAAGTGTCAGTAAATTCACATCAGCCAACAAACTTAATTAAAAGTAAACATGTATTGAGAAGAAAATTAAAAGGAAATTGGAAAAGAAAAATAGCTGAAAATTATAAAAGTAAATAAGTTGGTTTGTCTTGAACCATGTACTGAAATAAACAATTGAATAGACTTACTCACCACTTCATTTCAAAAGTATTTCATGCATTGGAATTAATTGGGTTCAGCTAGGAATATAAAGGAGCAAGTAGAAATTAAACCAAAAGACATTTTATGTGATGGTATGCTATTCAGTTTGACAACTTTGGTTGACAGCTGCTTTCTGGCCTGTAGGCAACATACAACTGAACCGGAGAAGGGCTAGCAGTGGGCAATTAATGTAATTGGCTTACTTAACTAAGAGTAAACAGGCAAAAGAGTTGGCAGTTTTCCCTATCACATGGATCTGTTTATGGACAAAGGGATGCTAGTTGGGAAGTAGGAACAGGAAGAATCACTCATCCAACTCAGAAACATAACAGCCAATCAGGACCAGACTCTGCCACACAAGTCAAGGGGTCTTGGGGTCAGGGATGCTAGGCACAGTGGATGTACAGTATCTTGCCATATGCTAGATAAATCTAGAGATTGTAAGGCAGTGGCTCCCAACTTTTTCTATACCCCGCACCCCTAGAACATTTCTGATATATTCTTGCACCCCTTACAAAAGTTCAAAATAATGAATTATGCATATACACCATAATTTTGAAACTTCTAAACCCAAGTTTTTGCACCCCCTGGAATATCATCTCACATCTCCGGTTGGGAACCCCTGTTATAAGGAGTTGCATTTATAGCCAGATACTTTATTGGACATAAGACACTTGAGGGAGCTAGCTTGATCAATACAGCAATGAATACTTTGTGCTCCATGGTGTTTGAAAAAGCTATTTCCAACTCTTTAAACCAAACATATATTTTTCTAGTTTTATGCAGCATCTGTGGAGGGCAACCATATGATCCCAGGGGAAGTTGTAGCTGTTATTTACAGGTGCTACATGAGTGCTCCTGTGCATTCTAAAGCACCTTCAAAATCAAATTATATCTCCGGCCTATTGATTAATGTCATGGCAACTCCAAATTAAATTATTGTAATAGCCTGAGACAGTGTTTCTGCTGGCTTGATCCTCCTCCTTTTGTCATAACCCATTAAATACAGGGCATTAATAAAGGATATACAAAGTCCTCCAGGAACATACAACTATACTAGAAACAACTCCACTTGTAGTTTTTTTTAATTATTCAGGAATCATGCTTTGCTTTCCTCCTAACGAGCAGGAAGTATTAGTTACAATGCATCGTTGATTTATGGCTGGTTTATTAAGAGAAATACAAGACAGACCTCCTTGTTTGCACATAAAACTAAACAAAGCAATTCATTTGGATTTGCTAGCTGCAATTACTGGTAAGAAAAGCCAAGAAAGGTGATTGAACAATATATACCAGTAGTGTACCAGTTTAATATTTGTTCCCAAGTAAGCAAAAATTCTGAACAATTCTGGTTTATTGTGGCATATAAATACATTCTGGTTTTGCTTTTTAATTTCTTATTTGTTCCTGAACTTTGTACAAAGTCCTCTAAACAGAAAATATTGGGATTGGTTGTTTATTATTCGTGTAAACTTGCTATATGCATTTGCTTCTTTTTGCAGGACAACCTCAGGCGGGACATTAGAACTGGTAGAGGAATCCCTTGACATAAACCTTTTGAACAATGCTGTTCAGATTAGATTTCAAAATTGTAATCTCTTGCCGCAAGGGGTACACATCTTTGAGACCCAAAATCATGTTGTTATATTGGTTTCAACCAATCAAACAGTACATAGATTGATGTTACCTCATCCAGCTCGGATGTATAGAAATGTAAGTAATCTATTCTAATATACCTATTAAAAAATTCCAAGATTATTAAGTTAGAGACAAAATTATTTTAGTTGAAGAAGTCAAATTGCAGATTTGTTTGTTCCTGTTCTTTCCCTGCATGCCATTTTATCCTAATAATATATTAACTCCTGTCACATCCAAATCTCGGTGCTTATTTGAAGACTCATATAAACTAAGCCCATTTTTTTAGTTGGATGTTGAATTATTTCGTATGGAATACAATTATTTACATAGCTTCATATTGAAAAATATTCTGGGGATAAATTTAAACAGATTGGAACATGCAAATTGCGCAGTCTAAGCTATTAATGATAGAATGGTATGATGCGAGGAAGTCCATTGATTAGTGAGAGAACATGTAGTTGGTGTGTGTCAAACATCAATTCCTGGTCTTTTCTGTCAGATTTTGGAATCAGATAACTTTGACACTTTCTCCTGAGACTATAGAGAGCTAGTGCTTGGATTTGCACAAAGTGATAATTTTCCATAGTTAGCTGAGTATAATATGAAAACTATATTGTGGTTTAAATTGTGATGTAAGAGGTGCTTTAACTACAGCTGGTACCTTTGTTTTATTATAATTTTACATTATAGTTACATACATAGTCTGAATCTGAACAGGAAAATTAATACATGATATCCTGTAATTTCAACCACATATATAAAAATAGGCCTGATATAAAATCAGAATATAAAAAGAGACTCTTATAAAGAGAAAACAACGTAAATGGTGTAAGCAGACTAGTGCCTAAAGGTTGGTGAGATACTAAGAGGAGTAGAACAAGTATTGTCAAAATGTATCAAGTGAATTTGGTTTGTTGGAAAAGGGTTGCTGGATAAACTTCTTAAAACATGGGGTAAATACTATGAGAAAACGTTTTGTCTAATCTTTTCCTTGTTTCAGATATTCAGTTTTTGAAATCATACTTTACACAATAGGAATATTAATAGAAAAGTCATTTTACTATTTTTCTTCTTCAATGTTATACTTTCTTGTTGATAATTATATCCCTGGTTTGTTTGTTTTTTTAGGAACTGATTACAGAAAGTCAAATGCAGTCTGTTTTCACAGATATTGGAAAACTTCATTTTAGAGATCCATTGAACTACTGTGTGATCCCCACAGTTCCTGGTTTGTCACCTAATTCCACTGCTTCAGCAGCTTGGCTTACCAATGATGGAGGATCTCTCTTTGCTCTACCATCTGCTTCTGGTGGGATTTTTGTCCTTAACCTACCACCTTATGATGCTCATGGTAAGTGTATATAAATTATAAAAAGACAGGTGATTCAGAGGTTAAAGGAAAAAGGGCATCTGTTGGAATGTCGTAGCTAGTTGTGCTCCCTGTAGCAGTTACATTGCTGTCCTATTTAGTATCATAAATACGATACAGATAATCCTTGGGTCATATGATCAAAGTTCGGGCACTTGGCAACCGGCACCTATTTATGATGGTTGCAGTGTCTTCGAGTCATGTGATCACTTTTTGTGATCTTCTGACAGACAAAATCAATAGGGAAGCCAGATTCACTTAACAACCCTTTACTAACTTAACCAACTGCAGTGATTCTCTTAACAACCGGGGCAAAAAAGGTCGTAAAATGATGCAAAACTCACTTTAAAACTATCTTGCTTAACAATGGCAATTTTGAGCTCAATTGTGTTTGTAAGTCGAGGACTACCTGTATAGACATTCTATTTCAAGTTACAGGTAGTCCTCAACTTACAACAGTTTGTTTAGTGACTGTTCAAAGTTACAACAGCATTGAAAAAAGCGACTTATGACTGTTTTTCACATGACCATTGCAGCATCCCCATGGTTATGTGCTCAAAATCTGATTACTCGGCAACTGGTGTGTATTTATGATGGTTGCAGTGTCCTGGGGTCCTTCTGACAAGCAAAGCCAATAGGGAAACCAGATTCACTTAAACATAGTACTAACCTAACAACTGCAGTGATTCACTGTGGCAAGGAATGTCATTAAATGGGGCAAAACTCACTTAACAACTGTCTTGTTAGCAACATAAATTTTGGGCTCAGCTGTGGTCATACGTTGAGGACTACCTGTACATTTCCCTCAGAAATTCAATTTTGTAGCGAAACTTACAGTAATTTTAAATATATTGTAATACATAGAAGACAGAAAGGGGTTCTCATATCAACAGATTTTATAAAGTGATGTAGCAAAGCAGTTCAGCTAAGAGAAGTAGAAACATTTGGTTTGCACTCATACAGATGCCACTTTGCGCATGGAATTTCCTAAAAGTCACTTTCATTCTCTCCCCCTTGTATTCTTTTAGATTTAAACAATTTCAAGTACAAAGCTTGGTAAAATGTTTTAGTCTTGAAACAGGGCTGTTTCCAAATTGTGAGAATACTGTGTTTTGAATTCAAAACCATTTTGTTCTTGAAAATGGAAGGTTTTGTAAGGTTTTGTGATTGAAACAGATCAAAGTAAAACATTGCAATCAGTGCTGATTTTAAATTAAAAGTGATTTAAAACTGATTTAAATTAAAAAATTGTTCTGATTAATTATTTTAAGAAATAAAGAATGACCTTGTCTTTGTTTGGACCACCAACAGAATCTTATATAAGTTCTAATTATCCACAATTAACAAATCAACTAAGTAATAAATTTGTTTCACATGTCTTTTTATAGAATTCACTAAAGACTATCAGATTTAATTGCATTTTTATTATATTGTCAGATTTAAACAAATTGCTAAAAATTGTTTTCTTATTTTTTAGAGATGCCTTCAACTTCATTTGTGGAGTTGAAACAGAGTTCAGTCATGCAGCGCTTGCTTACGGGTTGGATGCCAACTGCCATCAGGCTAGTATTATGATGATAAGCAGTTAAGGCTTATAATTAGAGTTTAATTAGAACTCTTAAAGCTTACACAGCAACAAATAGAGTAATTGGAAGTGGCATTGGAATGAATGAAATGTGAAAGGGAAATCGAGAACGTGGGTCTGGAGAGGGAAAGATTAGCAGATAAAAAGTTGAAAAAAAAAAAACAAAGCAGGAGGAGAGCTACTGAAGGCACCCAGTTGCACAGGAAAAGGGTACCTCTCCCTTTTTGTAATTGGCTCTGCTCCCAATAGCAATAAATTTCTTGTGGTGCTCAAGACAGAGAGGAGATGGCTGTCTTCACCTAAATTACAAGAAAATGGAGTTGTGAGAATAATAATAGGCTGTTTTGAAAAATGTGGCATGAAATTGTAATCAATTCCTGCTTGATTATTTTGGGAGTTTAAACTTCTGCAGGTTGTTCACTATAGTAGTGCCCTTCATGATTAATTTGAAGTTTTATGCATGGCACTGTAGTAGTGCCCTTCATGATTAATTTGAAGATTTATGCATGACAAATTATAATATTCTTTCTCCTGAAAGGAGAACTGCTGCAAAGAAAAGACAGGTGCCTTAACTTGTAAAATAGTGCTTCAGCTAAGTTCAACTAAAAATGCCCTGTTCAGTCAATATTCAATTACGATGTTAATAATTATAAATATTAATTATTATTGTTGTTGTTGTTATTAATAGTAGTAGTAATCGTAGTAAATAATTATTGACATCTCAATAAAGATGTCATTTATGCCTCATTAATGAAGTTCAATAGTATTCCAGTTGGTCATTACTACAATAGAGCAGTTGTAATGTTAGATATCGTGGGGAAAAACTCATGCAGATTCATTGATTTCTCCTTAGTGCTTGCTTCTGTATTTATTATTGTTATTGTTACTGTTTTTACAGAGGGGATCAAAATCCTTCAGATCTTCCTGTTAGTTTATCTGTCCACTGTCGTGAACATGACGCACTTCTCTTTGCACTCTACCAAGATCATAAACTTCGGATGTGGTCCTATAAAGTGAGTAACCTTTTTCTTTTGTTTGTTAATTAATTGTTAATATACCAACCAATTGGTAATCATCAAAATGGTTTGTGTCATGGGTCCCATCTTGACTCTTTGATCTAGACCCCCAATGGATACACTTGCTCACCTCAGTTTCATGAATTTGGATAAATATTCAACACAATCAGCTTCGTGGTTCAGTCAGGCTTTAGGAATGAGCTGTTAATAATAATAATAATAATAATAATTTAATTTATATACCGCCCTTCTCCCGTAGGACTCAGGGCGGTGCACAGCATATTAAAACAAATACAAATACAGCCAGGACTAATGTTCTTCCTGTTGTGGATTCAAGGATTCTACACTGAACCATCTGATATGGAGTGCAGTCATATTCTGTAGTGCTCATTAGTAATTACTGAGGGGTATAAGAGACTTCTCTACCTCTTCCCTTTACTACATTGTGGGAGGCTTTGTTATGTTGTAAGCATTGGACACTATCCCTTAATTGTGAACATGAATTGAGTTCAGAATCGTGGTACATTTTCATTTTCGAGCAGAACCTGTATGCTAACCAGAAAATATATATATATATATATTACTCCTTTGTCTCATTGTACCTCCAATCCTCTATGTCATAAAAAATCTGATGAAAGATTTGAGGAACCTCTCGGAATACTTGGATAGATAATACTGGAATAAAGATGATGAAGTTGAAGGATGAGGAGAGGAGGAAGGGGAAGAAGGAGAAGAAGAGGAGGAGGAAGGGGAAGAAGAGGAAGTAGTAGTAGCAGCAGTAGTAGTAATTACAATAAAGGAAACGTAAAGAGATTATTGGCCCAAAATATCTCTTCCCCCCTTCTTTCTGCCAATGGAGTGTTTTGGGTAGTATTAATATTAACTTCATAAAAATACCCCTAGATCTGTTATGAAAGCAGATGACATTTTTAGAGATAAACCTGAATGATAGCAGTTTTTAGCTTAGAACAGAAGGAGATATGTAAAGTCTGAGAATACACTCTAGTATACTACTATCAAATATGTGATGAGCTTGGAAAATTAAACAGAATAAATTGTCTCCCCACTGTCTCACAGTGTTGTGTTTATAATTGTATTTAAATATGTTCGCTTTTTTTCATTTTACTCATCTAGCATCTTATCTTAACAGAATCAAATGTGCCTGATGGTGGCTGATACGTTGGAATTTGTTCCTGTAAATAAAGATCTGAGACTTATTGGTGGAAGTGGACACAGATTACAGCTGGCATATTCTGAGTCATTGGGGCTTTATATTGGTGTATACTTGCATGCACCCAGACAAGGACAGGTAATGAGAAATTTTGTATTTGGAGAATACAAAGTGTATTTTCTTGAAATTAAAATACTGTCTCCATGATCATTTATAATTTCAGATTATTTGGCAAAGGCAGTTTACAACAATGTATACTTTGTTTTGGAAGCTGAGATAAAAAGCAAAGCTTAAAATGCTGATCATTTCAAATGTTTCCTGTTTTAAACATGGGCAATTATGTAACATTGATGCAGGTTAAATATATAAAGATATATACACATGAGGTATGTTTAGAGCAGTGATTCTCAACCTTGGCAGCTTAAAGGTTTGTGGACTTCAGCTCCCAGAATTCCCCAGCCAGCATGCCGCCTGAGGAATTCTGGGAGTTGAAATCTACACATCTTCAATCTGCTGAGGTTGAGAAACATTGCCTTAAATATTGATATGCATTGAGTAGCACAAGTTTCTTATCTCTAAAGTAAAATATTGTGCAACTAACTTTAGATACAGAATTGTACTGTCTGAAGTTTCCCATTTGTGGTTCGTTCCTCAACTACTTCAAGTTCTGTCAATATGCCTGTACAGCGAGCCAAATACCTCCTCCTGCCTACGGGAAGAAGTTGCATAATTGCTGAGAATTGTTCTTCATTCTGTAGTGACTAGAATATCTGATATACGTGGCATGTGGTTACCTTGATTTTCTAGAATAAAAAATAAATAAAGTGTAAGGATATGGTAAGAATTCATTTCATTTTTATTTGTACTAATTGCAGACTTTTTTTCCCCCCTGCAGTTCTGTGTCTTCCAGCTGGTCAGCACAGAGAGTCATCGCTATAGTCTTGATCACATATCATCGTTGTTCACATCTCAGGTTAGAACTGATAACAATCAGGTCAATGGAGATCAAATGGGTTTCAGATAAAAATAAATGCGCAGGTCCTGGATCCTGGGTAATCCTCTTCAAGCTGGAAAGGCTTAATACAGCTATCTTACCTTCCCTCTTACTTGAGCATGGATAATGCCATGAAAAATTATATGTACAATCCTTCTAATTCAATCAGTAGATTCTACATTGTTAACATAATATCCTGTTCTTATAATTTATTTGTTGTTTTAACCCGTTTATGTTTTTATTTAGGAGACACTTATTGATTTTGCTTTAACTACTTCTGAGATCTGGGCACTTTGGCATGATGATGAAAATCAAACTACCGTGAAATACATCAATTTTGAGCAGTAAGTTTTATTCCCCTCAGCTGTTCATTTGCTTAATATGTTTCTTTAAAAGAAAATGTAGCGTTGAATATTTTATTGAAAAGGTTTCAGAATAAATACATTTATATGCCAGAGTAGTAGAAGATGATGATAACATTGAGCCAAAAGTTATTCTCCTCTGCATTTTGAAGCTTTAGAATAGGATTAGATTACATAGCCCCATGTTCTCTATTACCCGAGCTTATAGTGGTCTTGTTAACTAGGCAGGAGAAAGATGTTGAGACTCTAGAAAGAGTACAGAGAAGAGCAACAAAGATGATTAGGGGACTGAAGGCTAAAACATGTAAGGAACGGTTGCTGGAATTGGGTATGTCTAGTTTAATGAAGAGAAGGATGAGGGGGGACATGATAGCAGTGTTCTAATATCTCAGGGGCTGCCACAAAGAAGAGGGACTCAAGCTATTTTCCAAAGCGCCTGAAGGCAGGACAAGAAGCAACGGGTGAAAACTAATCAAGGAGAGAAGCAACCTAGAACTAAGGAGAAACTTCCTGACAGTTAGAACAATCAACCAGTGGAACAACCTGCCTCCAGAAGCAGTGAATGCTCTAACACTGGAAGTTTTTAAGAAGAGACTGGACAGCCATTTGTCTGAAATGGTATAGGGTTACCTGCCTGAGCAGGGGGTTGGACTTGATGACCTCCAAGGTCCCTTCCAACTTTATTATTATTATTAAGCCTCAAAGCATTTACAAATAAGGCTTTAGGCTGAAGATACCCACCGTTTAAATTTCTCACAACATTTCTAAGATGTAAGGGAGGCCCAGTGGCACTGATAATTGATTACAGGTAGTCCTTGACTTACAACCATTTGTTTAGTAATCATTCAAAGTTACAACAGCACTGAAAAATGACTTATGACCATTTTTCACACTTACGAGCGTTGCAACATCTCCATGGTCACATAATCAAAATTTGGAAACTTGGCAACTGGCATGTATTTATGACGGTTGCAGTGTCCAGGGTCATGTGATCACCTTTTGCGATCTTCTGGCAAGCAAAGTCAATGGGGAAGCCCGGTTCCCTTAACAACTGTGTTACTAACTTAAAACTGCACTTAACTGGCAAGAAAAGTCGTAAAATGGGGCAAATCTTATTTAACAACTGTCTTAGTAACAAAAGTTTGGGTCTCAATTGTGGTTCATGAGTCGAGGACTGCCTGTATGTTTCTAATTAGTGTTTTGCTTTGCAGCTAAACTGCCTCTTGGATTATTTCCTATTAAATAGTTCATAAAACAGCAAGAAACCTAACGGGCACCAAGGGAATTGTTGGCTAATGCATCAGTGTCAGGGTGGGAACGTGGGGACTTGCCCAAGAGTGTGTACCATTGGACTAATAGAAAAACCTGACAGTGTATGCACACACACAAGAAAAGAGAGATTGTCATGACAGCATGGCAAAATGTATGTGCTTGTTTTCTAGAAACTGTAATAGCATTGAATTGGAAAAAGGACAATGTGGTAAAATATGATGATTATCTGGAACATAGTCTTTTTATGCATGTGTGTATGTGTGTATTTATATGACTGAAATAATCTAGTCTTGTTTTAGCAATGTTGCTGGTCAGTGGAACCAAGTTTCTGTTCAGCCCCTGCCAGCTGAAGAAGTGAATATACGAGATGATCAGGATCCCAGGGTAAATAAACCCTATGAATTAAGTATGGACACTGTAGTGCTGTATTTATCTTACTTGTACTATAAATGTATGTGTAATATAATAGAAATCCTCCAGTTTGAACAATGAATTTGAATACCAAAGGTTGTGCTGGAAACAAGATCAACAAATAAATCTGGTTGTGCTGAGTGTGATGGAGGTGTGTGATGGATTGGGGAAGGTGTGTGGCAGTGCACAAGTAGCTGGTGTGAGCACAGAAGGGATGGGGGGAGAGTGCGGGGTGAGGAACACTCCAGCAACTTATAACCTTCCCTGCTAGCTTCCCCATAGATTTTCTGGGGAAGCCAGTAGGAAAAGTTGCAAATGGTGATCAGGTGACTGAGGCATTGCAATCAGTCCAAAGTGCAAACTAGATGCCAAGCACCCCAGTTGTGATCATGTGATTGCAGGGATACTGGGATAACCAGAACTCTAAGGATGGTCATAACCAGTTCAGCACTGTTGTAACTTTGAAAAGTCGCTGAACAAAATGGTTGTAGATCAAGAACAATGTGTATTTGGAAAGATTAAGATATTGGAAAGATAGTAACAGTGATTTACATCATTTGAAAAAGGACATAATCATACAAATTTAATGTAATTTAATGTAAATTTAAATGTCTTATCTGTCTACTTTGGATTCAGTAGATTTGTCTATTATTTCAGGGGACTCTCCAGAAAGACGTAGCTATTGCACCCAAATTTTGTCAAATGAGGAAAATTTGCTTTAATGTCTGTTAAAATGAGATTTACTGTATCTGATATGGCTGTTGACATTCCAATTGTCAACAGATTTGAGAACCTGTGAAGTATCATGCCTCTCACAATTTTAGTGCAAAAAATAGCATCACACCTTAGTTTTTTAAAAATCATACAAATCTGAATTGATACCAATTATAGTGATTCTTTACAGGAAACGTTTACAGAGGCTATCTTCCTGCCCGGTCAGTTCACAAATGCAGCTTTGCTTAAAGCTTTACAGGTGAGTAACAGTCATTATTTGTTGGGGAATTTGTGCTAACTAAGCAAAATTAAAAAGCCAGTTTACATCTTTTTTGACACAAAATGGCAATGTTGGATTGCAACCAAAAGACATAATAATTTTCTCCAGTTCATAATTCTTAGTGATCTTCTATTAGTGTCATTTGAAAATAGCATTCTCTTAAGCAGTTGATAAGCAGTTGATCAGACTAAATTTGAAGCATAAACCATAGTATTAAATTACAGGATCCTATCATTGGGCAACAAATCACAATATGTAGTACTAGTAAGTAGAAGCATTTTTAAACCAGGCTTCCATTGTGCAGTGAAATGTAAAACATCCTGTTTCATAATTTTAGAAAATTAAAATATTAGCTAACATTTGATTAGTGGGCATGGTTAAATCTTTTTCCCAAGTAAATAATTTGCCCTATACAAATTAACATATTCTCTCCAACTAACATTTAGTAGACATAAGTGGTAGGAATTTACTTCTGTATTCAACAGTGTCTGAAGAAATATGTTTTTAAATGCTTAGTTCTCTGAAAAAAGTTGATACATGTGAGAAGGCACTTGAATTAAAATAGAAGGTTATTGATCAGATGAGTTAATTATATACTTGTAAAACAAGATATTATAGATAAGTTAAGGAATAGGGTTTGTTTGAAGTGGAATAGGGTTTGTTTGAAGAAAAGAAACTATTTGATGATCTAACATTTTATTCTCAGAGACAGGAAATCAAAATAAAGTCAGTACAGAGTTTCAGTATTAATAAAAATACCATAACTACGTCTAAATAGGGTGAGTTCTGTAATTTAATAAATGGCATGTTAATAATATGCAATTTTGGAGTAACAAATGAAATATTAATATGTTGATAATAACGAAAGAATGCACAAGAGCAGGAAACTACATTATTAAGTTTCACACAAAGAAACAGATGAAATCAAGTGTCGACAAACCTCTGCTTGATTGGATGTGAAGTCCTTGGTGCTCCCTGAGTTTGACTGGAAGTGAAATACATTTCATACCACAAGTACTTTAGAAGTATATATATTTTAGTAGTTTACAGTCCAAGACGAAACACTAGTAATAAATCTGATCGGAAGCCACAAATGATCTTGAAGGAAATGCCTCTAATTAAAGGTCAAGGCAACAATATAAGAATGGTTTGGTGACACTGAAAGACTAAAATTATTGTTGTATCAGATTTTGAAAGAAAATTAGAAGCAAGAAAATGATCTGCTCATGAGATAGCATTTTAATTAAATAAGATGCATGTTAACTTGATAAGGAAGTCTGATGTGATCAAAACTTGGTTCATTGCTCTTCTAAACTTTTTTAAACTAACAGTTTGCCCTTTTTTGTGTGAAAGGAACATGTATGAAATTGTGACACTTAAGATTAAGAAGTGTAACTCTCTTTTTCTGTATATATTTTTGTAGATTTTTTCTCAAGAAGCTGAGAGATACAAAGACCTGTCATGGGATGAACTGAAAAAAGAAATTACTATCGCTCTAGAAGATGAGGTGAGATTCAATTTATTTTTGTTTTAAAGAATCATTTCAGTTATTTTTTAACTCTTGGCTGCTTGTAGAGTGGGATGGAGGGGTAGTTGCTGTTCAGCCACCTTTCTCTAACCATTTTATGACTGAAATGCACATATTGTGTTATGTCATACATGATCCTAAGCCTATCTTTTTAACCATATGAACATTTTATAACAGTCTCGTCTACATAGAATGCTAAAACAGAGTGGATTATTTCATACATAATGCTAAGCAAGAATTAAACCAGATTGTGGTTTAGTGTTATGTTTGAATCGGCCAATTATTTTGAAGCCTGATCTTTTTCTGTAGTTCTTGCTTAGTATAAGAAATAATAAAAATAATTTTATTTTTTGGTTAAGAGTAATTAGAACACTATTGATCCTCTTTGTGAAATGTTAGTTGTAGCTATTAGTAGAAATGACAATACTCTGGGTTCACTGGTTTCTTACATAAAGAAGTCTTCCTAATGAGGATGAATTTAAAATTACTTGGTTAATGGTATTAAAGTGCCTAGTGTCATTTGATAAACAATATGTAGCAAATTATTTTATTTCTCCCCTCTTCTCCCAGTTCCAGGGCAATGTGACAGAATATGAATTCTCACATGAAGAGTTCAGACAATTACAAATAGAATTCTGGTCAAAATTCTACGCCTACTGCCTTCAGTATCAGGAAGAACTTTCACGACCACTCGCACTTCTCTTGAATCAGTATACTAACATGGTGTGTTTACTAAAAAAGGTAAGAACCCGGCTATTTCAAGGTCAAGCATTATAAAAGAACATAATGATCCCATACTTTATTGTGATATTGAAACAACGTCTTTAAGTCTGGTGTTCTACAAAATGCTTTAACTTACATTTATTTAGTAAACATTCAGGTGATCTAAGAAAAGAATTCCCTGATCGTACATTTTACATATTTTTTTCTTTATAGTCAACACAATTGCTTTGCCTTTTTTTTAAATTTTGTATTAAGCTTCCCCACTCCCCAAATAAATGGGACAATCCATAGTTTTAAAAAGTTCCAGGAAATCACGGAAACCATTACAAAGATTATTTGATTGTTTTCCTCATAGTTCAGTTGTTTACCCTTATTTGCTACTAATATTTTCAAACATATTTTAAGACTGAGAATATGAACAGCCATCCTGATGGCAGGTATTTGCTTTGCAGTTTGCACAGATAACATTTTATATTTGCAGCTATGCAGCTATATTTTAGTTACCTGTATGATGTGAAATAAGAACAAATCGTTGTTTTCTGCTCTTTGAAACTAAGCAGAGGGTTTGTTTGTTTCCCACAGGGTTACTTTTCTTTTCTTGTGCCATGTTCCTTAATGGATCATCTTTATCTCTTGCCTGATGAACAACTGATTAATGAAGTTGAAAGTGCTGGCTTAGACGGTAATAGAGATGGAGCTTACTATTTGTCTTACGTTATTTCAGTTCCAACAAATTCTTAATTTGGGCAGGGTTGTGCTAATGGCTTCAGCATCCCTCTTTATTTACTATTGTGATTTTCAAAATTATAATATGAGTTTAACTTTGCAGAAGAAAAAAAAATCCCACCCAGCTCTCTTCACTCCTCATTCCCCTTGTTTATTCCATAAGAAGATTGTCCATTTTCCATGTTCCTTTTTTATGCTGTTTGTTACTTTTGTTCTAACAAAAGGAAGGCTGAATGAGATGTAATTTAGAGCTTAGAAACAATTATTTTAAAATAATAACTGGATAATATCTCTTCAAAATCTTTCTTCCAATACTAGTCTAAATAAAAATATTTTTTACAGGATTAGCAAAGCTGATCCCTGTAGTTTGAACGCAATAGAACTGCTATTTCTCTCGCCTTCCTACAGATAGTCCTTGTCTTAACAACCACAATTCAGGGTCCAGAATTTTGGTTGGAAGTCATTGTGGTTGTTAAACGGATATCCATGTGACCACTCTACTCAATGAGCACAATCCTGCCTCTCCCAGTTGTGGTCATTAAGGGGGCAAAGGGAAGAAGCTACCTGTTGAAAGAGAACATGCATGATGGAAACTCTCGGTGGCCGGGAAAACATAGCTCAGATCTTCAGGGTCCAAGTTCCCTTTCTCCAGCCCACTGCAGGAATCATCCTTCCTCAGCCCACAGGAGAGGGGAGTTCCTTCAGCAAGTGGCAGCAGCTTGTGATCTTCCCTGGTGGCTTCCCCATTGACTTTCCCCAAACAATGAGATGAGTGGTATATAAATTTAATGAATAAGGTTGCAAATGGTGATCACACGAATGCTTGTCAATCGGTTAGGTCGTAAGTGCCAAGATCTGAATTTCCCTTCCTTTGCCCATAACATTCCAGGCATTTCCCCTCCCCTATTTTGGGGTCATGATTCACATATTCCAATTAACCTGGAGGGCAAAGATTCACTTCCATTCCCTTCTGCGCGCTTTTCTCTCCTCTCCCATTCTCATCTGAATTAACTCTTAAAAGTACCAGACAGTTCTGCATATTTTGGAAGATGTGAATCATGACCCCAAAATAGGGGAGGGGAAATGCCTGGAATGTTATGGGCAAAGGAAGGGAAATTCAGATCTTGGCATTTCTCCGTGCCGTGCTGACACTTCTTTACACTAATAAAGGCTTTTTAGGTTAAACAATGCCTGAAAGTTCTTTGAAGTGTTTCATTAGTCAGACACATGACAGTAAGTGTGAACAAATGAGCAAAATACAATCATGACTGGGGATGTTGTGGCAATCGTAATCGAGGATGGAATTATAAGCAACTTTTCCTGAGCCTGTTGTAACTTTAAATGATCATTAAGTGACTGGTTGTAAGTCAAAGACTAACTGTAATTACATCAGATAGCTGCAAGCTTGGAACACAGATTGTCAAATTCGGTAAAATCTTTTTGCCTGAAATATAAACATTGGTGTGCTTTCCTCACTGGTCAAGCTTTTATATTAACAATCTTAACAGGAAGTACAGCAGTTTTTACATTAGCAATATTATAGGATGTACAAGAACAGTTATCCTACAGCAACCATAAACAGGTAGTTCTTGACTTACAACAGTTTGTTTAGTGACTATCTGAAGTTACAATGGCATAGAAAAAAGTGACTTATGACCATTTTTCACACTGAAGACCATTGCAGCATCCCCATAAATTCGGATGCTTGGCAACTGTCCTGTATTTATGACGGTTGTGGTGTCCAGGGGTCGTGTGATCACCTTTTGCACCTTCTGACAAGCAAAATGAATGGAGAAGCTAGATTTATTTAACAACCACGTTCCTAACTTAAAAACTGCCATGATTCACTTAACAAATGTGGCAAGAAAGGTCGTAAAATGGGGCAAAATTCATGTAACAAATTCTCACCAACAGAAATTTTGGTCTCAGTTGTAGTCGTAAGTCAAGGACTACCTGTATTCTTTATTATGAAGAGCGGGCTTTTTGTTTTCCCCCCAAAATGCTTGCCTTCAGATTTATTATTTGCTTGGTTTTGTTCTTAAGTTTTCCTCTGTAAAGCAAAATTTGTTTTTTTATTTTATGAACTTCTTTCAGATTTGCCCCCTTTTAGGTTTATTCTTTATATTTTCTAAGAGAATGTGGACACTACTTATACTGTACTTCTCTTGTTTGTCCAGACAAAGAACCAAGAGAGGGGATGTTGTTGGAGTATCTTTCATTGGGTTTCCCTTTCCAATGTTTCGGGAGTTCTGTTTGTTTTTGGGGATACTGTCATGATTTTCTGTTTTTGGCTATTGTCTAATTTAAACCAGATAAATAAAACTTTTACAATCAGACCTAGATTTTTCTCTCCATTTTCAAGAGATTAAAATATACTGTGCCTAAGCAGTTAGAAGCAGTTACCTCAAATCTCCTTGAAAATGGATAATTGCAAGACTGAATTGGTGTATGCAAAATGTACTGTCTCTAACATCATACACCATAGGGTATTGAGAAACATATTTCATCTTATTTGGGCTTTTATTTGACATACCAAATGAAAGGGACCTGAGTATTTTATGCTGGTTTAGAACGTACTACAAAAAGCTGCTTTATTTTTCGTAAATTGTGAACATAATCTTCTTGTTGCAGAATCTGATTTTTCTCATGATCTTCTGAGCCTCCTTCAGTGCCTTCGATTAATTGGCGAATCGGTTTCTGTGGAAATGGCACTCACAATGGAAATGGCTTGCTTCCGTCTCCAGTCTCCAGAGAGAGCTGCTGAACAGATCCTTAAAGACTTGATTGCTAATGACACGTAAGCCTGGATTTTGAGCTACATGTGCATATAAAGATTGATTTGCTCATTTCCTTTGCAGCATTGAATTGATTAGATGTATTTACATATCTCTCTTGAGGGTATTTATTTTGACCATGACCACGAGTGGCTTAATTATGTCATACTTGGACTGTTGTAATATATTCTAAAGATTCAGAAACATTTTGCATTTTTGTTATGTTGCTTGTCTTGAAAGGGAATAGTATAATGAACATGTATGTAAACTGTTATCATGTTTAAGGATAGGAATGGGAGCAAGAAACCCTGAGAGGCAAACTATTCCATTCCACCATTAAATCTTGCTGAAATCCCCCAAATGACTTGAAATTGCATAGAGAAATTTTGGCCATTTTGCTGCTGAATTTCAGTGCCATGAGTGAGGGCCTTGGAAGCTGTAATAGGTATTTTGTGGGGGGATGGGTAGTACATCTTCCCAACATCTTCACCAGGCAGTTTTAACTTGCAGTTTTGTTCCCAACAAGAGTTGTTCTTCCTTTTCATGAAGAAAAATGATTACAGAATGAATGATTACAGACATGCCTGTCACTAATCTACTGCATCTTTAGTTCACTTTCAATTACTGGTTTCTAGTTGTGGAGGCAGACTGGAAAGAAGGAATGTATATTTCAGAATATACAGCTAATGAAATGAAATCTTATTGGGCCTTTTCCCTTCAGGAAGCAAAGGCAGCTAAGTTGATGCCTCTTGTAAAAAGCAATCTTCCAGTGTTAAGGTTCCACTTCTTTAGGCCTTAATCAGTTCTTGATCAAGAACTGAAAGATTTGAGCTTTGCTCTTAAAAAAAGTTTGGAAGTTTGCATTAGGCTCACTTGTTTGATCAGAAAATTGAATCACTAGGTTTCTAGGAGAATAGCATGGCGGTTTGTTTTGTGTTAAAGCCTTGTATTAAATCTCTAGAATCTGTCAAGCAAGAAAATTGCCACATAAATTCACAGTTGAACTATAGACGTGGTGACTATATTTTCTTGAAAAAATAAAGGACAGAGTTGAAAAGAGGTAATATTTGAAAGAGACTCAAGGATAAAAGTCATTTTAGGTTTATAACTGCTTTACCAAGCAAAACCAAGAAAATAAATAATTAAATAAATCTAGAGGGCACATTTCTGTAATAAGGGCTGTCCTTTATAATAAAGGCCATATGCTCCCTGTAACTATATGTCCTGTGTGAAATTATTAATCTGCACTTAACAAACAGTATATGTCTTTTATATATATATATAAAGGTTTTTATTGAGTTTTATAAGGTTGGGGAAGGGATAGGATCAGGATGGGGATTAAGGTTCAGGGTGGGGTTGGGATCAGGATTGAGGTTGGGACGGGATTGGGAACAACATTGGGGTTGCCCCCCAGTAACATTTTCAAGCTTTAGCAAACAGACTATTGTCCGGGTACATATGTTCAGTAACACTAATTAATATAATAGTAAATAGCTGTAATGAATATGATAAACAATCATAAACAGTATCAGTTGGTCAATACATATCATTCTTCTTACTAATATATATTCAAAATAACACCACATTCATTTCTCACTAGTTCTTTTTCCTAACCATTGGTAAAAATTATCCCATGTTTTAAAGTAAACTGAATCTTCTTTCTCTTTAATCTCTAAGGTTAATCTATCCATTTCTGCACACTCTAAAATTTTCTTAATTAAAATCTCTTCAGTTGGTAAGTTTTCATTTTTCCAGTATTGGGCAAATGCTATTCTCGCTGCTGTCAATACATGCAATATTAAATAACAGTATATGTCTTGACGATCACTAGTTTCAGACTAATGTGTTAAGGAAGTATCAACATACGAGATATCGTTAAGAATCATTGAGAGATAGTAAATATGCCGCAAAATTACTTCACTTTCATAATCTATAATCTCTCAATAATCTCTTAATTCAGCCTACTTAAATTTTACTTATTTTTTGCAGAGAAAATATGATGGAAGATATTCACAGCAAACTACAAGAAATCAAAAGTCCAGTTAATGCTATTGGGATGCTTATCCGGGAAATGGACTATGAAACAGATGTTGAGATGGATAGAGGATTCAGTCCTGGTGAGAGGAGAACAGCATTAGCCTCTCCTTCCCATCCCCAACATTCTGATTAAATAGAAGCAACTTAAGTTAATACATGTTTTTTGCCTCTTTCTACAGTTCAGTCCATAAACGTGCGCATGCATCTGTCACAACTTTATGGTAGTAGCACAACAGTAAATATGGTATGCCGGTGTGTGTACAAGATGTCCATGACACGCTTTTTAATTTGCCGGGACCTGTTGATTTTACAGCAGCTCTTACTACGGCTTGGAGATGCTGTGAGTATATCAAACACTAATATCCTTCGGAATCCTAAAACACCCTACTTATGAAAAACATTAGGGGCACATTTTATGATAGAGGGCAAGAAATAGATCAGTAATGGAAAAATTTTGCTGGATAAATATTGTCATTTGACAAACGAGCATAACATGCAGAAAGTTGTTAATAAATTGCTGTGTGGTGTCTCTGGCATTGAACTTGAATTATTTTCACATTTATGTGTGATCATTGTTTCTTTCTCAATGTTACCAAATTAGCTACAGTTTAATGTTTATTGACATGTTTCAGATACTTTTGGGAGGAGATCAGCTATTCCACACTCAACAGAACTTACTACATCGTACATCTATTTTGTTACTATCTTATTATGTGATAAGGTGGGCAAGTCAGCGTTTGGCATCAGATGTTCCTGTTGATGAACTGTAAGTGTTTTATGTTTAGTGTATAAATATATAGGTATATAATGAAGTATATAAAAGTGTCTGTAAATCATATTTATTTTCCTTTGTATATAAAATAGGCATGTTTTATTTTTATTTTTTTGCATTGGAAACAATTTGTCCAAAGTCTGCTTATGACTATCAGAGTTTTCTTTTATTGCTGCTGTTTTCTTCTTAATTTCCTTACTATATCATCCGTCCGTATCTATCTGTCTGTCTGTCTACCCACCCACCCACCTACCCTTTTCATTTTCTTAGGGGTTATCTTAGTCAAACCAACAGTTTAAAATTACATTTCCATGGAATTTTGTTAGGAGATGGTTTTGTGAGGAGATGGAGAAGATTGTCTGTTATTTAAAACAGTGTACAGATGAGTTATGTTATCCTGAATGTCATTTTTATGTATTTCAGTATATAACATTTCCAAATTGATCGGTCCATCCATATTTGAAACTGTAAGACTTCATAAAGTCTTCATCATGTTATTTTCCAATGATGGATTGTTATTTTAACAATAGGAAAAACAAATTTGATGATATCCAAGAAAATATTTAACATTCTTGTAGAAAGTATTAAGCTTTTATTTTTAAATATGATAGATCTTTGTCTTCCCATTAACCTATTTTTTTAAGTTTTTATTTTAAGACTTTCTTCATCCTAGTTACAGTTAAAATATAGGGTTAGAATTATATAACTAAGTATGTTAAATGAAGATAATTGATCTTTTTGTAGGGAATCAAACCTACAGCATCTTTCGGTATTAAAGCTAACAGATTCCACAACAATAACACCATTGAAGCTGGGTAAGAAATTGTCTGTCTGTCTGTCTGTCTGTCTGTCTGTCTGTCTATCTATCTATCTATCTTATTTCGTAATCACCCATCTCCCTCAGAGAGAGGCTCTGGGTAGTATACAATATAACCAATAAAAATTAAAATCAGAATTAATTTAAGATTAAAAGGTTTTAAAATTGTAAAAGTAACATACATTTCAAAACGCTTTTGCCTTTGTTTTAGTATTTGTTTTCATTTTGTGCTTAATTTCAAATAATAACATTAATATTAAAGATTTTTCCAGTTGATCAATAATGCTATTAGATCAAATACATTAAGAAATCACAAAATATTGCTCAGCTGTTAAAACCGATGAGATCCAAATTAAGATTCTTTTTAAAGGGGTGTTTTAATAAATTTTTAGGGGGATCAAGGGTGGTTGGGAGGGGGGAGGATCACCTTAGGTCAGGACCAGCCATGTCTGAGGGTTGCGGTGTAGAAAGGGTGGGGGGGG